TCTTCATTTCAGGATCACTACTCGATTCATTTTCACTAATTTCATCACTGGATAGTTCATTGTCAGCTTCAATTTGACCATCATATCCAAGACTGCTTTGTACACTTGAATCTTCACCATCAGCGCTTTTTAAATACCATTCCAATGCCTTGTGGGCCTTCGTTGTTGCTTCAAGATTGCACTTCATTCCATCCTTATCACCATACGTTTCATCAGCAGCTTCGATGTTCAAGGTCACCTCACTATTCGACTTAGGAGAGTATCCAAGCTTCTCATCATTAAAACCATCTTGATCCCGACCGATATTAACATTCCAAAACCATTGCAGCATATCCATCTCACAACAAGAAGTAACAGACTTCTGATCTGCAGATTCATCAACACCAATCCTATCGGCTTCACTTTCGTCTTTTTCAACGCCGATCACATAGTTATAGCAATCACTATCGATACTTATTCCATCGGCGGATCCCATCTCACAAGATTTCTTGCAATGGACGTATACCTTGTTTTCATCCTTTTCAATACCATTTCCATAATGATAACTATGTCCAACAAATGCTTCACTAGCGTTACCCATATCTTCAAATTTTTGATATTGAATGAACGTCTCATGCTCATCCTTTTTTACATCAATCTCGTTTTGATAACGACGCCCAACGATATATGCTTCATCAGCATCACTCAGATCAGCAGATTCCTGACGATATTTGAAGGCCTTTTGTTCATTCATACTACCTCCAATTCCATTACGATCATTATCAACCTTGAGTGCTTTCAGCAAACCTTCCATCATTACATCCATCTTTGTAATTATGTCTAATGGTGCTTCTATCACCACTATCGGTCTATCCTGGTAGCGATGCCCAATCTCGACCAATTCCTCAGCATTGTCCATATTGGCAGATTTTTGGTGATAAACGAATGCCTCCTGTTCATCCTTATCGACTCCAATTCCATGTTAATAACACAATCCAAGGTTGTCTTGTGCTTCTAGATCACCATGTCCCATATTTGCAGATTTTTGATAACAGATATGTGCCTTGTTTTCATTTCTTTCGACTACATTCCCTTTTCCACAACAATGTCCAATATATGTTCCGTTAGCATCAATCATCATTGCTCTACCATCTGAGCTAGATCTCCCAGAGCCTTTAGGTTTATTCTTCATTTCTGCAGATTTTAAAAACTATTCGAACGCTTTCCTTTCATCTTTACAAGTTCCTATACCTTCACTATATAATAATCCTATTGCATTTGGTTCATTAGAATCTTCACCTTCGGTGGATTTTAAATACCCTTTGAACACCTTATTTTCATTCTCTTCAACACTAACTCTGGAACGATAACAATCACCAACCGTATCACCATGACCCTCATCTGTAGAATTTTGATGACGCTTGAGCATCTTCTTTTCAGAACGTTCAGGTAGGTTTACTCTTTTTATTCTTCTCTTCATACTTATATTACCTTCATTGTTCATACTAATGTTCATCATCTCTTTTGTTCTCAATTCACCTTCCTTTCTATATTTCTTGGCACGTTCATTCTTTATTTCCATGGACCTCATAAATCAAACATTATTCACTTTCGGGATCGTTTGTAATGGACAGGACCAGGCATAATGCCCTTTTTTTTGACACGCATAACACAATCGTGGCCTACAGTACCATTGTCTTTTCCGCTCCGTCTTCACGTTCTTTACTAGCACAGCGACCATTTCAACAACCTTACCAACAACGAAACCAAGTAATTGGCACCTTCCATACTTCAGGTAATGTTTGATTTTTTTTTTTTTTTTTTTCGTTTACGACTACTAACAATATTCTTTTTCTTTGATTACTTTAATTACATATAATTGCTGCCGGGAACCTTGAGTTCAACAATTAGGACCTTTCTTCACACAGCACAAGTCCACCTTTACGAATTCTGCGAGTAGAACCTTCGTCTGCCCAGGTCCTTGTGGCAAAGGCGTTTACGGTATACAGGGTCTTTGTCCTTCTTCCTTATGAATTTAAACTCGCTTGGCTTTTCACACAGTCCGGGGTTAACGTTCCAGGTACTACCACCACTTTAGTTCATCTCTTGACTACTACGACGACCACACAGTTTATTTAATTAGCACGTTTATTACTAAGCTAACTTAATTACTCTTTTTATTACTATTAGATCGCTCAATTTAAATACAAAAATTATCGCCAGATATATTATTATCCGGGTTACACGCATTATGCAATTCCACAATTAGACTTTAAATTAATTTCATGCATCACGATCACGCCATTCATGCAAATCCCAGATCCAAATCGAACCCGGCGCCACGAATTCCCAGGGTACTGAAATACACCGTGACATTGTATCTGTTATAAATTCTGTTTAGAAATATCTTGCAAGTGTAACCTCACAGCTACTTCTAATATTTGTATTATAATTTCATATAATGTTGGTTTTATATATGCAGATCTTGATAACAAGTACTTCCAAAATTATAGATTTCACAGAATTTGGACATCATAACTTTCAGCTGAGTTTTTATAAACAGGTCACTTCCAATTTGCAAGTATTAATTAGTGTTTATTTTTATTAGTATTTTTGTATACATGTTTTATAATACTACTTCCAATTAAATATAACCTTATCTTCTATAATCTGCATTTTATATATACTCTGAGTTGTCTGCCAATTTCTCTATATAGTGTAATTCTTTTTTTAACAGGTATTATATGAGTGTTAAAAATGCTTTCAATTCTAGTTAAGGCATAATTTTTTACTACAGTCTATAATTATATATTACTACTTTTCTTACTATTCTAGTTCTAAGCAAGTATTCTACAAGGTAAATGCAGGAATATTGGTATTGTCTCAAGGTCATTCCAACTAGATGACTTATTCATGCAATCTTTATATAACCAAACCTTTTGTGATACTACTGTCACAAATAGTGCTACTGCTCTACAGTCTGATCTCTTTTCAAAAACTTCTTATTCTGCTTTTATACTGCACTTGGACTTCCACAAGGCTTCGCATTCAATTTTATAGCTTTTGTATATTACAAAGTCAAATTTTAATTAAAATTTGCCTCCAGTCTAACTAGAAATATTGATTTAATCTGTGGATGTTTAAAAGCTTAACTGCTAAGTTATGGAATTCAAATCTAATTATCAGTATATTATATACTATATAAAATAATTATAAAAACAAGAATTATATTATTTAAGCATCTGTATTGTAATGCATTCACCTGATTGACCAATTAGTAATAAGATTAGGAATAATTTAAATTGAAAAAAATAGCAATATTTTGAAAAAAATGCGTATAACTTATAAGTTGACTTATAAAATCACCTTTTGTATTTTAACAAAAAAAATTTCTTGCAAAATTATGGATATAATCAATATATAATATACTTATATTCCAATCTAGTCTAAATTATTACTAAACCTTACTCTAAATTAATATGTAGTTATTTTGTTTTGATTTTATATTACACCAGATCTTATAGAATGCATTATAATACAGGTATACCAAATAATAAAATTCTATATTTTACTTTATTAAATTTATTTTTTTTGTAATAATTTACAGAATATATCAAAAAACATTAATTAAAGAAGGGATGGGGTTCCATAGCCTAGTGGTCTAGACACCCCACCCTCTACAGACAAGGTCGATGGTTTAATTCCAGCTAAAGATAAAAACTTTATAATCTACAAAAGCATATGAATATATGCAAAGCCCTGTGGCTAAAGTCCATATGAATAGAAGATCAGATATAAGAAAGTTCCAAGAAAGTAGCCTTCTGAGATGGAGAGAAGGTGCTCGATATAAGAGAAGCAGTAAACATATGAGAAGACACACTAGTGGGTGATATGGTGAACATAAAAGGAAGTCATGGGAAAGGAATGAACTTACCAAAATTTGAACACCTCTGGCACCAATACTAGTTTCATTAGATATGGATTATATTAAAATTGGATAAAATCTAAAATGGTAATCTTGGTACCATACTTAGTAGTTTGTATTGAGGGTGATATGTAGAACTATGGATATATAGTAATATCTAATGAGGTAGTACTTTGATATAAATAGTATTAACATCTCCTAATCTGATATGTTACAAAATAGGTAATGTAAGTATTGCATATATGCAAATAGTGTTGGAGATCAGAAAGTTTAAATAGGGAACCTAGAGATGGGTCTTAAGTATGGCATCTAGTGGGTAATTTATGGGCAGAACCCTTAATTAGATAATAACTAAAGTTATACATGTAGCTAGTTGTACTTTCGTCGATAGACTACTGTATATAATTGTAATCATATGTTACTATTAATAAAGACATACAGGCAAGATGCCGCTTAATAAAAAAAAAAAATTACCGGAAAGTTTCAGATTATCAAAAAATTGTGCTTGATCTCCGGTATTTTAAGGTAGGGTTTTTGTATGCACGTACGTACGTATGTACGCATTTTATAATAACAGGCTGAAGCTACGTAGGATATGCGTACGTTCAAAAAAGGAATAATCAACAATTTTTTAAAGAAATTGTTTTTGCATAAATCATTTGGATATTTATATAATAAGAGTTTAGCTTCCCATTTTTTTAGCACTTAACCATATTTTTAATTATAAAAAGTTTTCGGAAAGCATATCAAAAAACTTACAAAAAGAAATTCATATAACATGAGTGATACTTCTCAGCAAGCAGGTGCGAATTCGCAGCAAGTAGGTACGATTTCGCAGCAAGAGGTATATTACCTCATTAAGCTGAGAAAAAGATTTAGAAAGTGGCGACGACTCCAGGGCCAATTTTTTGCGCAGCTATTTGTTTCCGCCATTATTTGCATATTATCGCTTGGGATTGGTGTTTACGCTTTGTATGTGCAACTTAGTAATCAGAATGATTATAGTAAACGAAATACGAACATTTTTTCAACTAGTGCTATTGGACTAACAAGTATTATAACACTTTGTCAGAATTTGTGGTCTCTTCAAAATCTTATGGCTGTAAGTGATAAAACAGAATCTTTAGAAGATTTATATTATAAAGAAGCTAAAGAAATTGGATTAACAATCATCAGAGATAAAGCTATTTGGGAACATAATATTAACAATTATGAAGAAATAATGAAACTAGAAAAGAATGAACGAAAACAACTATATTTCGTGCAAGGACTAATTAGATTTGATGATTTTTATATCCATATGGGTTGCTTTAGCTTCAAGTATTTTCGTTCTTTTGGCTTTATTTTCTGCTTTTGCCTTGCTTGATTCACAAAATCAGACAAATAATTTGATATTTCAAGTTGTAGACTATAGTCTGATCAGTTTTTCTGCATTATGTCTATGGGCTATTATTTGTGCCCCCGTTTTTATTAAAATATTGGTTCCCGCAGCAATAGAACAAAAGATGAAACTGGATAGAAATCTGAGGAATTCAGAGAATTCGAGAAATTTGGGGAGGAATGAAGATTTTCTTAACGAAGACAAAATCCCTTTAAGTTATTTACTATCACGTGGATCCCGTTCTGGATTTGAAATTTTATTGTTTTTATTTTTTGTTTTTTCTCTCCCTGTTCTCATCGGCATTGGACTGGTAACACCAGGATTTGGGGATTTATCTAAGCTCACGTTTGACCCCAAATTACGGAGAACTGAAATTAATAACATTGAGTTGGAGGGGATAAAACGTCTTCTTATTGGCTTGCATACATCAAATTTTAATAATAATACAGTCAGTCCTTGATATAATTACCAGGTTGGGAAACAAAAATTTGATGATTATAAAAAGTTGTGACTATATGGAAAGCAAAATTTATATTTTTTTATAATAGCTAGGACCAACAATAACTGATTATAACAAGGGTGTGACCATATCAAGATTGGGATATATTGCAATAATAGCATAGTATTTAAATCTTTGATTCTTTTTTTATTACATATTTAGCTCTTAATTAGTCCATCTGTAAGTAGATCTTGAAGTGAAAATAAATTTATTTTACTTTCAATTTTCTGTAATCTACTAAAAAATCATAAGCTATTTATTAATTCTTTTAAATTTTAAACGGAATTTTATATCTAAAGATTAGTAAGTTGAATTTCTTCTCTACACCTATACGTTACGGTAGTTTAAATTCACGCTAGTTAGAGAAATTGCTGAAAATAAAAGATTAAACCGCTTTGAAACTGAATATGCACAACAAAAAAAAGTTAAGGTAAAATAATTACAGAAATTGCCTAATCTAAAGTTAATATATGAAAAACTATCAAATTAGCTATTTTGAAAAAAATCAGATCAAGAAATGTAAAGAAAATGAAAAACTATATAAGGAGAATAAAAAATTATGCGAAAAAGACAATTTGTTATGTAGTTATTGTCGCGGCTGATGCTGAAATTTGGGATCTCGATATGAAATATAAACACTACTATAATCCATATTTAGCTCTAATAGTTAACTTAAAAGTGTATATGTCAATCAGAACCGTAATAAAAAGCAATTCTTGAATGTGTGCCAGGTTGGTGGCGCATTAATCAGCCACAATGATCTCTTCTAGTTCAGTATAAAATTTTTAAAATTTTTAGTTCGTTTTTTTCGCAGATCATTGTAAAAAAGATTCATTATAGTGTTTAGTTTAAAAAGTGAAATCCATTTAAAATAAGGACATTACAGTTAAAATGTAAAATTGTACTAAAATAGATATAATTTGACATTTTTTTAATCTTGAATAACTTTTCTGTTTTTGATAACATAATAATGAGACGATTCTAGCAAGCACGAGATCGGTAAGGTTTTTTACAAGAATTATTTTATCAGCCATATTAGTACATGTTTATTAGCTAACATATTTGTTACCATACTTTTAAAGCCAATACTTTCTTAAGAATTTTGACGAGTTTCATCATTTTTGCCTGTAAAAAATTTTAAAACTTATAATTCATAAACGAATATTTCTTTTTCAAAACAATAAATATTAGAAATTAAGAGTTATGAAGAAGTGAAGGGAAATGTAGTTTTTGGCAAAATTTGAAGAGAAATAACGTTAATTTTATACTAATAATACAATCGGATATAGTAATAGCTTTGATCGGGGCACTTAATTATATCTATGGTAATCGAACAGTGATTAGTAGTTACGATAGTTAATCAGTACTATCAACAGTAAGTGTCGACACTTGTAAGGTAATCGAAAAATGAATAATGCGATCGTGAAGAACCTTCACAATTGAAATAATGAAATAACAATAAATACAACACTAAAACTAATAACAATTGATAAATCGATTCTTTATAACCAAAACATCGAAGCCAGAGCGAGAAGACAGCTCTTTTATATTTTCAAGGTACAGTACATTGAAATAACGGATTACATGTTTTGTTTCATGTCTAGTCATTTTGGACTATACATGTAACTTTCTAGACTTAAAGGTTAATTTAGCTTTTCTAATACTATAACCATTTTGAACAAAGTATCTAAGTTTTATTTCGTGTCTAATTCTTGTATCTTATCTAAGCTTCAGTCCTTGCGTCTTATGACAATAAACAAATAAAAGAAATCTATAGATACAAAAATAAACAAAAATGACAAATTGAATAAATATCGAGACTCTTTAATCCTTCTAAGCCTTCACTACCCGTTTAGCCTTACATTTAGGGTTGTAAAATTTGGATACAGAAAATTATTTCATAGACACCTTATTACATAGACAATCAATTCATAGACAAGATTATTTTAAAGACAATTAATTCACAGACAGTTCAATTCATAGACAGCTCATTTGGAAGACGGTTTATTTTATGACAATCTTTAAAAATGAATAACACCCGATCCAGTGGTCTGTTTTGGATAATTTAATTACCAAAATAATCACCTTGGTAAGATGATTCTAACAAACCTAGAATTACCTAAATCCAATCACTGAATCCCAAATAATTAGAAATTTATATTGATTTAGATATTAAAATAAATTGTCTGTAAGGTGAACTATCTGTGAATTGTCTCTATAATAAACTTGTCTATAAATTGATTGTCTAGGAAATAAGATGTCTGTAAAATGATTTCTGTGAAGTGATACGCATCCGTAAAATTTATAATAATTTCAAAATTTTGATGATGTAACTTACAAGCAATTTTTATATATTCACTTAGTTAAAAATTCATGTAAGTTATTGTGTAAGTTATAATATAGGTTTACAACCCTACTTACAATATTTTTGTGATTTCAATATTTATATATTTTTATAACTATTTGTATACTATTTAGTCTTGATTTTTTAACAAAATTATGATAATATATACTTTTTAACTATCAAGTTAACTTGTATTCTAACCTTATTCTAAAAAAAAAAAGCAGAAAAATTGGTCTAAAAAATTTTTATATTTTTATATAAAATAGATTCAGATTTTAGCATTAGCTATAATAATATATATTACAAAAAATATTTTTTTCTTTTAAAATTTTTTTTTTTTAATATTAAGGTGGCTACTTTGGGGTCTGGCACATTTATTAACTTTGGTTGCAAATAGTGCTTCTAGGTCTGGTCTGGGTCTGGTCCGATCTGAGTCTGGTCCGGGATCAGATCAGACTCAGACTCTAAATTTTGCTAATTTTAAACTTTAGATCAGACTCAGACTCAATTGTGAGTTTGGTCTAGGTTTGGTTTGAGGTCTGCAGACTGGTTTGAGTTTGAATATATTTATATGTATTTTTAGGTGTTGAACAAATTTACTTAGTGCATAAAGTTAGAATTAATTAGTAAATTTTTAAGAAACATAAGATTTTATAAAATTTTATTAATAAAAGTTTACAAAATCTTTTTTTTTTTTTTTTATTTTGAATTTGCTGTATACATGATAAGATTAGTTACAGATTTGTATCAAGATAATATTAATTTTAACTATCTATTATATCTTGTATAACCACCTAAGTATAGCAAAACACCTTTTAATTTTCTATTTATAAACTAATTTAAGACTAGCTACCATTAGTTATAGAGGGAAAAAGAGGAAGCCCAGACAAAATCTTATATTTCTCAAAACTTTACTAATTAATTCTAACTTTATTTACTAATTAAATTTGTTAGCATCTAAAAATACATTAAACTAGCTGAGTTATTTTTATTGTATTTAAAATTTGGAGCAAAGATGCTTAATTTTAAATTTTTGATCAAAAAATCTAAAATTAAGCATCTTTGCTCCAAATTTTAAGTACAATAAAAATAACTTAGCCAGTTTAATGTATTTTTAGGTGCTGAACAAATTTAGTTAGTGTATAAAGTTATAATTAATTAGTAAATTATTGATAATAATAAGATTTTGTAAAATTTTATTAATAAAATTTTACAAAATCTTATGTTCTTTAAAACTTTACTAATTAATTTTAACTTAATTTACCAATTAAATTTATTCAGAACCTAAAAATACATTAAACTGGCAGAGTTATTTTTATTATACTTAAAATTTGAAGCGAAGATACTTAATTTTGGATTTTTGATTAAAAAATCTAAAATTAAGCATCTTCACTCTAAATTTTAAGTGCAATAAAAATAACTCTACCAGTTTAATGTATATTTAGATGCTGAACAAATTTAATTAGTGTATAAAGCTAGAATTAATTAGTAAAGTTTTGAGAAACATAAGATTTTATAAAATTTTATTAATAAAATTTTACAAAATCTTATGATATCAAAATTTTACTAATTAATTCTAACTTTATGCACTAACTAAAGTTGTTTAGCAAGGCAAATCACCAACTTTTCCTGACAATTACTTGTACCAAGTTTTCTCTAAAAACAATTGCACTTTTCTCAATATTTTATTAACTAAACACATTCTAGCTGCTTAAGTAAAATTGTTCTTAACAAAATTTTATATATAGGTGGCTCAGTTTTATATCTCTAAAGTCTTTTGTTGCAGAGATATAGCTAAATTTAATTTTTTTGCTTTTTTCAAGAAAACTCAAAATTTTACTAAGTAAATCGCT